TCGAGAGACAAATTCTTGAACCGAGAAAATAATTTTGAAGAGTTTCATTGTATTGGATCAATATAAATTTACTTTATTTATTTATTAGAAAACAGACACCCATCGGCTTTATACATCATATGTAGAAAGTAAAAAAATATAATGTTAAAAAAACAAGCAGATTAAAGTAAAAAAAAAGAATACAAAATAGTGAGTTAGTGAATTAGATTAAAGATAGGGAAATATTTTATTTTTGGTATTCGTGATGAATGCTTGATATGTACAAGGGAAATTTCTTAGTTTAAGAATTTTTCTACTCAAATTAATAAACATGAAATTCTTCAAAATTATTTACTTGATTCAAGTAATTTTTTTATCTTTGCATTTCTTGTAAAATTCGTAAAAATTTATATTTTTAAATTATAATTCTCCACTTTCTTAATTCGAGGCACCTAGCTTTCATAAATTTTACATTGAACTGTATTATTCCAATTTTTATCAGGCTATAGATAAAAATTCAAAAATAATTTCAGATAATTTATCATTTTTCTCAGAAATTTGTAAATAAAATTAACATATTTTATTAAAAAAATTAGTTTCGTAATTGATTAAACAAAAAATCAATATAAAAGCGTCAAAAAATAATTTTCATTTTAGAACTTAACTATCTCAAACTTACCTCTCTTGTAGCGAGACGATTTAGCAGCCATGCGCCACCTATTGGACATTTTTAAAACTAACTTTGGTCAAAAAGTTATATATGGACGTATCAATTCACATCAGACCATATATGGCCGGATAAAATTTATTTTTATGGCCTTGAAAGCTTTATCTCGTCATTAATATTTATCCAAACGAAACAGAGATGCATTAGCGCGTAAATTACTCTAAATACTGTACAAGACCTTAAAACTCATGCCGGCAAAAAATAAATGAAAACAAGCGAAAGAGGATAAACTTAAAGAAGGAGGCGCCTCGATCCTAATGACTTTATAATGCCGTAATTCCTTAAAAAAATCCAGCAACTTAATTTTCCGTGTTTAATCATTAAATTTTAATGTTTTCTGGATCTGAATTATTATTTTAATGACGAATGGCGACTGGTAGAGCTTACCTTGACACACTTACACCCGAATACATTTAGCAGCACTAATGTCTGCGTCTGATGTGTATGATCATCAGCATCAACATCAACATAGGGCAATTGCTCAGTGGCCTTCCTCTTGCTGTAGTTATTTTTATTTCGTTGTTAAAGTCTCAGTTTGATTTTATGTCGGCGGGTTTATTCGTGCACGTAGTAGGTACAGATAATGACTAACTTTCGACGTGCTAAGTTCATCAGCAGTAGGTTGTAAGTTTCTGTTAAACTCGGATAGTAACTAATAACTAATAACTAATAACTTAACATTTCACGCACGCACATCTCTCCTGTTATTTACGGATGAAATAGATGGAGATATATTGCTGTATTAGCATTTAGGTGCTATCTTGGTGTTAGTGGTTATTGTTATTGTTTGCAAGTCGGCTTTTAACTCCGAAGGTGCATGATACTGCGTACTGCGTGCAAGACTCTGTTACATTGTGACTCGACACCTTTTCTTGCCGGAAGTTTCACACGAATCATTATATCCATACAATTTGATGATGTACATCCTTGTAACGAATTACCGATTTTAACTTTTTATCAAGTCTCACTATTGACTAGAGGCCTTTAAGGCCTTTCATGTTAAGATTTTATTACGGTGACATGAACTCGGCTCTTGTATATAAGAGAAAAGTAACGTTGCTTGGAATTCAATTTAATTTTTGAAATAAAAATTTTAATCTATAGCCTCATTGCAAATTCTTCAGAAAGAATTTTTGAAATTGGTTAATTTGTTCAGTAAAAAATGCTAAAATTTTTTCCTATTATCATTTATTGCACGCTTCATAAGCGAAGCTCAACTTTCGATATTTTAAAAAAAGCAGTTTTCTCGAAACTGAAATTGATTTTTTTTTATTAATATCGCACTTGAGGTTAATATGAGTGTACTTATATCGAGTCAAATAATTTGTCAGGCACACAAAATATATTTCAATAACAATTATTTTGTTTAACATAGTAAATAATAACATTAAAAATAATCTTTTCTGCCCTCCGGCCGGAAAGTGGCAACTTTCTGGCCGCTGCGCTAAACAAAGTTGCCACATTCCGGCTACGTCGAGCAGAAAAATAGTATACACACTCTCACTCGGCTTCGCCTCGGCCAACAATTACATGTGGTCTGAGACTTTTCTTATTTTACTGGCCTAGGTATGTAATATACTAATTTCTGGACGTCTATGTGTATATGTTTATGGATTGGTGTATGTGGCAGAGATGTTAGTCGAAAAAATGATCGTACCAGAATAATTTTTTTTTTTATTATCTAAATTAACACACTTAGGATTTTTTCAATTAATATGAGCGTTCAATTCACTGTCGTTTAAATATTATTTATAAAAATAATTATTATTATTAATTATTATTTATAAATAATTATTATCTATCTATTCATTTTATTGTAGTATTTTTTTTCCTCACCGTAGAATTATGGCAGCACTATAGCAGAGTTTTCTGTTTTTTATTATTTTGCTTTTTATATTTTATTTTAATCAATTTTATTGTGAAAAATGAGATTATGAAGCGTGCATTTATGGATTATCCAAACTTATGTCAATTTTCGTCAAATTCTGTATTTTTTTATGACCATTTTAAAATGTTTGATAGACTTTTTTTTTAATTACATTATTGTTTTTCATAAATAATTTTTTAAATGTAAGAGAAGATTTCATCTCATTTTTTTAGTTAACGTTACTACAACATTAGAAATTTCTCGTAATTATTGTAATTTTTTATCAAAAAAATTTTTATTAAAAAAATATGTGTTAAAATATTAAAAATAAATTAGTAAAATATAAAACTACACTGTAAAAAATTTGTAAATGCGTATTATTAATAAAAAATAAAATCTTATTATTAAATAAGATTAAAAAAATAATTTTTAGTCGTTTATTTTTTTTTTCCAAAATTTGATCACAGTTTTAATAAAATTTCTTATAAAAATAAAAAAAGCATCTCGTGAATTGATATTGCAGTGTAGTATATATTCAATTCGACGAATCAGAAATTCGGGCAGTGGATCGCGTGATTTATAAGAGCGGTAACGCAAATATCCTGTAACTCGGGCCAAATTGTTCCGGCTAACATTTGCCCTCGTATTGCTCCGTGTGTAAGCGATTATATATAAGTAAGTATGAATGCTAGCTACCCTGTAGAAAGGAAAGAATCACTCAACGCTCCTGAGGGGATTGCAGTTTATGGTTAATATGTATATATATGAACTATGATGCTCCTACGGGGCAATTTGAATTAATTTTTGATAAGCTCGACATGAACTTGTGTATATCGGGGCAAAATTATGTTTGTAGTGTAAATAAATTTTCTGTAATAATTCTAATAATCATAATCATAATACTACTACTAATAATAATAATAATAATAATAATAATAATAATAATAATAATAATAATAATAATAATAATAATGAATAAATGTTGTTAATATGAAAATAATTGAGAAATGCAATGGCATACTTTTCGTAATGTTTTCTAAGAAATTGATTCAAGATTTTTTTTTTCAATAATACCTATATATAATTTTATAACGAAGGAAAGGTAAGAAAAAGGAAAAAAAAATTTTAATAATTAAAAAAAAAAAGAAACATTTGCTCAGTACAAGAGTTTTAGTTGTTTATTTTTGTCCACGGGAGTTTATTTACATGGGTAAAACAGCTTGCATATAGCGATCCATCGAAATAGCTAATACATTTTTTTGTTTCGTTTCAAAAACACAAGCAGTTTAACAATACATAATTAATTAATAACATTCAACTCTACACTATACTTCCGTAATAGCAATAATTATTTATATATATAACGTATGCTGAGAATTGCCAATAATCTACATATAAATTATCTCTCTACAGATTACATCTCGGTACGTTATTAACAATTCTCAGGTACGGACAACATTCTGTTATCTTCAAATAATCAATAATGATAATAATAGTAGTAATAAAAATGATTATAATAATAATAATAATAATAATAATAATAATAATAATAATAAAGAGAAAAAAACATAAATAACAATAATAACAATAATATTTATATTAATAATAATGATAATAATAATAATAAAAATTAATCACCATTGATATTAAATATAATACAGCTTATTATACACAATTGAGACTATTTATATTTGCACATAACTCACATCTCAATTTTATTATAAATAAAGTATTTAAAATAACAAAATAAATCAATTTATTCATACACTAAGTGTCAATTTTTTAAATTAAACATTTCTTTCTCTGGTAATTTTATTTTTAGTCGCAGTTGAAAATTTTTAGTACATTTTTATAATAACTATATTTTACCATACAAAAATTAGTTTTGGAATTGATTAAATTAATAATCTTCGTCAGATGAGCTTCTTAAGAGAATCATTAAATTGATTTTTACGTTAGAACTTAAGTATCTCAAACTTAACTCTCTTGTAGCGAGAAATTTCCGCAACCATACGCCACCTGTTGGAGATTTCAAGAACTAACTTTTGTAAAAAAATTATATAAGAGCATATATGATCATTTTTGGTATTATGTAGGCATATAAAGTCATACTAAGCGATATCAAGCCGTATATATCATGAAATATGGCCTGATATGGCTAATTTTCCTCTAAGGAGATAAAAAACATATCAAAGATGTATAAAAAATTATATATGTACTTATTAAATCATATTGATTGATGACCAATAACAAAAATTATTTTGCTGACCAATTAAATGTTTTTAAAAATTAATAAATCTTTTAAATGTATCCCAAAATTTTCAACTGCGAGTTTTTTTAATATAACATTTTATTACAAAACAAGTAAACCAATGACAATGACAATGAAGATGAAAATGATGTGATGATTTACAAGATAGTCGATGACTACGAGGGTGATAAATCCTGTGCTTCGCGGTAAAGACTATCGGTGGGTGAAGGCGTAGCTCTCCTGGAAGCTGAGGGAGAAGGTGAAGGGACGGAAGGTTTTCGTCCGGCGATGCCACTCGAATATGGGGAAAATCTGTGATGAGCTAGCGCTAGAGCCGAAGGGTAGATCGGCCGCGGGGCCGCGGGACCTGGGGGAGGACTTTGCTGCGAACTGGAGGCCGCGAGCTGCTGCTGTTGGTGGTGGTGGGCCGCCGCGAAAAGCGTTGGTCCCAGAGATGAGGCCCACCAGAGGTGACCTAATTGTTGCTGCTGTTGTTGTTGCTGGTGCTGCTGCTGCTGCTGGTGGCTAGATCCCGCGACTGTCGAGGCACTTGGGTATACCAAAGCTGGACTTACCAGCTGGGCGTAAGGACCCACCGCCGCGGCTGCAGCAGCTCTCAGGAGAATCTGCGATCTCGCTGCCCAGAGTGCTTTTTCCTCCAGGCTCAAGTTATTCGCGCCGCTTTGAAGCTGCTCCATCTCAAAGGGAAACCGGTGGGGAAATCTCATCGATTGCTGCTCCGCTAACATTGACTCCATCGTCTCCCTGAAAGGAAAACTGCTCGATTATGCTTTTGGTTTTCAAATTTTTTGTTGGAAAAATCTCGGGACATTTTTTTTTAAATTTGATTTATTTTTTTTTAAATAATAAAATACAAAAAATTTTAAATTTAATAAAAATTTTTATTTATTATTATTCAATGGAATGTTTTATTATGAGTGAGGTTGAGCTAACGAGCAGAGCGTGTGTGTCCACACACGAGTATTGAAATAGTCTTGTATATTAATTTTTTTTCATGTTATGTAATGATATGATTGTTTGTTATTTTATTATGATATTGTGTAAACTATTATAATTAACACGGCTAGTTTTGAATTATCTTTGAAAATTCAAATAAAAATAAAAATAAAATAGAAGTAATTCTGTCAATAATGAGACTAAGACTCACCTCTCGAAATCCGTGAGACGTGAAGAGTCCCGGAAGCCCTTTGCGAACGGATTACTGTCTATCTTCAGTTTCGTTATCTGAAAGCAGTAAAAAGATTGATTGACATTACCAACTGGCTTGCACACTCGAGAAAAAATACTACCAGCAAAATAAAGCAGCCTTAAAATAGGGAGGGTAAAATAGAAATAAAATCGTCGCGTTTTATTGCCCGTGCAATTCTCTTAAGTCTCTATACGCTATATATACATATACATTGACACAGCACATAAAAAGATGAAGCTGATTTCTCGTCCTTGCAGGGTCCTCGTTATCGTCGGGTAGCTTGTCGAATGGGAATTCGTCCCGGAATTGTATTGTAGAACTGCGACGAGACTAAATCAACGATCCGTATCGCTCAAAACTATGATCCAACGCCTCATAGAAATTTTCTATACACCCACACTAACGATAAAAAATATAAAAAATAATATTGACGATAAGAAAAATTTTTTTTGTAGAAATAAAAACAATTGATCAGTTATTTTTTGCAATAAATATAATTTTAAGTAAATTATAAGGTGTAAAAAATCAAAAAAATTTATTTATAATTTTATTAAAACAAAAAAAAATTATTAGATTAAATTTATAATAATTTATGGTAAAAAATTAATTTTTTTGGATAAAAAATCAAGTCAAAATTCAGAAAAAAATTATTTTAATAAACTTTGATCATTTATTATTTTTTTTCTAATCAAATTTTTCATAATAATTAATCAATACTTTTTTGTAAAAATATTCTATCAGAATTTTGAAGTGAAATTTTTTTTTATTAATCTGTAGTAGCCTATAAATTTATTTTAATTAATTTTTAAGACTAATTAATCAATAAATTTAATTTTCTACTCAAAAAAAATTTTTTTTTAAATTAGGTTGCATTAAAAATGTTTTAAAGGAGCCTTTCTTCATTTTCTCACATAAAAATCCAATGAATCCAAAGCAATACATTGAAACACGTTCACATTAATACCCATCCCTAAAATCGATCGGAAGTCAACGGCTCGTAAAATTAGAGGCAGGGTACACAACACCCGACAAAACAAAATCACAAAGTGGAAATTAGGATACCAAGATCTCCTTGTCCTGATAGACTGACACATACATATATACAACGTAATAGGGTGAATTGAGATTGCTCGATCGTTTCAATTATTACCAAGTGCAACAAATCTCTTTAGCCCTGTCATAGATATATCGTAATCACGATTACACTCTAGTTAAAACCCCTTTATATCTTTTTTATACACCGCTCTATATCTATATCTACATTTTTATTGGCCTTTTATCTCCTCTATTTATATCAGGCCTCTGGTAGTGTCGGAGATATAGATAGATAGATCTATACTTCAATCTAAAAGCGGAAAAGTTTAAGTATGGCTTAATTACCATAATCAGTCTCACGAGTTTTTTCTTCAAGAAATTATTTTTCTTTTTAAGAATTTTAAATCTTTGATTCAAAGTAAAGTTTCTTAATGAGAAAAACCAAAAAAATAATACTCTAAAATTTATTTAGTAGCCTTCACTTTACCCAGTAAAATTTATAAAAAATTTGTTTGCTAAAACGAGAAGATTCAACAACCATGCGCCATCTGTTGGAGATTTTTGAAACTAACTTTGATCAAAAATATATATTTGAGCATGTAATGACCATATAAGGCCCAATACGGTCATATAAAATTTTATTAAGACGTATTAAGTCAGATATACTCATATGTGACCTTATATTTCAATTTGAGACCTTCTATATGATAATTTTAATATCAGAGTGTATGTACACATATTAAATTTTCTAATATGGCTATATGGAGTTATATAAGAAAATTTTTTGACGAAAATAATAAAATTTTCAATTAAATTATTAAAATTTCTAAATATCAAACATTCTCTTATTTTTCCAATTCGATTAAAGAATTTTTTGAATCATTTAAAATTATATTCAAAAAAAATTAACTCGATATAAAAGGGAAATTTTCGAACAAAAAAATCTTTTTAGAGCCTTTATGATCTAAATATATATATAGAAAAATTCTTGAATCTAAAAATTCTCCTCTTAAGGGAGTTTAATAATCAATGTAAGGAATTATTTTTAATTTAAAACATAAAACCTCAGAATGAATTATCTAGAAGCGAGATGATTAACTATCATGCGCCATCTGTTGAAAATTTTCAGTACTACTTTTTTAAATAAATTAATAATAATATCAAATAATATAATCAATAAAATTTCATAATAAATGAATGATATTCTGGTCTAGAAGCCTAAATTTTATATTTTTCAAACTAAGATAAAAAAAATGAAAAACATTTTTGGTATTTATTTTTTCATATGTTTATTGACATTTTATGAAGATATAAAAAAATTGTAAAAAAAAATCAAGTTAATTTTATTTTTAAGTGTAAATATCTCAAAAAAAGAGTAAAATTTTCATGCGAAAATTTTCTCAAACCAGGTAACATTTTTCAGTGCGCGTTATTTCCGACTACGTATATTGTGATAGTAATGCCCTGGTGTCAGTATTCGTGTTGCGGTGTCGAGTTATACGACGTCGAACACTCACGAGAAATAAATATATAACATTGCAATCCATACATATGAGCTTCGAAAGACTAAAACATAAAGCCGTATAGGTGAGTGTGCGAATAACCAGCTCTTAAAGACTTGGGAAACTTACCCTAAGTCTCTAGTGCGCGACAAGGGACCCCACGGTGTTGCTTGTTACCCCACAGCCCACCCAACACGCACGGCGGATGTACAGGTGGCCTTGAGTCACTAAACCGGCCGCCAGAGGCTACACTATTCCATACCATTAATACTTTTCGTATTGGCTCCATGTGTTAGTTTATACTACACATAATCATTCTGATGATAATGCGTGGGTGAGACACGTGTTAATTCGTAGACACTGACAGCAGACATTACCAGATTGAATTGTCTAAAGATTACTGCTCAGGGAAATTTTCGTTTGCTCTGCTGTCTATTTTCATTGATGCTAAAAGATTATCATTTGTGATTATCATTATTTTGTATTTTTAGAGTTGGATTATCCAGATACGGAGACGTATGACTAATTGTGTGATCTTGAGATGTAATGTGTTCTATTGGTATATATTATATATGTGTGTATATACTGAACGAGCACCGCGTCGGGTTTCATTAATCATTTGCTCTGATGTAATCATCCAGAAGTGTCAAGATGGATAAATAAAACCCGACGGCGGAATACGGTGGCATGTCTCTTTTGACAGCTACTCTTCCATAAGATATCATTGTAGACGAGGGATTTTCGGCCCTAAGTAGTCTGTAATTTTTAAGTGGAACTTTGAGTACTTTTAGGGGAATATTCTTCAACTTTTTCACCGGAATTTTAATTCGGTTTCTTCGAATTTTAATTAAGATTATTTGTTGAATATGTCGGAAAATTATAATTGGAATTCTGTTTTGTACACTTATAAAAAAATCAATTTGATGCAAGAGGAAAAATTTTGAAAATTATTCTAAAAAGTTTTTAAATTAAAAAACTTTTCTTTGAGGTAAATTTAAATTAATTCAAAAATTTTTATGTTCAATTCAATATAATCAAATTCTTCGATAGTTTTTTTTTTTAATCAAGATTTTTCTAACAGTGTAGTTAAATTTACGGAAATTAGTTCTGCGGTTACCGCTAGGTGGCTCATTTTTCTCGCTTGGAGAATTTCTTTTCAGAGAATATAAAAGATTCATCAGAAAAAAAAAATAAATTTATTAACACTTAATTTGGATATTTATGAAATTTCCGAATGAAAGATATCGAAAAATAAGAAATTTTGTTTGTTATTAAATTAATAAAAAATTGGTGTATATTTAAAAAAAATTTAAGCTTTTCAATATTTACTTTAAGTTTTTAATGCTCGATAAAAAATGTTAAGTAAAAAATTTTTTTTTATTAAAATTGTAATATACTGATTTAAGATTCTTATTTAGTACCAGAATTGCCACTAGGTGGCTTCTCTTCTCACATAAGCTAATAGGCTCGAGATTATAATACAAAAAAATTAGAATGTCACTAAAGATTTTTAACTAGGTTATTTAATTGGCTTTATATATTATTTTTTATAATAATAATTTAATAAATAATGCCTGATTAATTAAAAATTTTGCAAGCTTTAAAGCAAGGTACAAAAACTGAACTATTGTGATAATATAACAACTGTTATTTGAAATATTTAAATGTAAATTAAATCAATAGAAATTTGTAGAATTTGAATAAAAAAAAATCAATGACTAGGTTGTAAATATACTGAAAGAAAAAATTTCATCGTTGGTGTTAAAATCCAACTGATGAAATCCAACATATACATTAGTATCCCCAATGTAACTTAAGAAGAAAAAAAAGAGACATAATAAGTCCAAATTAGTAACAGTTTCTTGTAAAAACATTAATAAAAATCCCTTTTGACAAAATTTTCCGATCATCCTAAAATTTGTTATTTCAACAAAGTACTACTAATACGGGTGTAGAGTGTTAGCGTCGGGTCCTTAATTTCCTTCCTCTCGGCGGTCTGACGGTGTTAGAAATGTGTTGGAAGGAAAATGTGGTAAATGAGGAAGAGAAATGCATTTTATGGGTGGTCCAATTACCCTCTGGTTTCGCGGCTTCACAAAACCTCTATCACTCTCTCTCTCTCTCCCTCTCATTTTGGCAGTATGAAGAGACTAGGAATATAAACTAAGCACGTGCAGCCTTTTACCCTCAACGTTGTTGCCGTACGTCTGGATCTGGGTAATAAGACTCTTTCCTTCAAAGACGCGGGTAAAACACACAAAACTAACTCAGTCTAGTGTAGTATACTTATACTTATATTGCCGTTGCCATTGCCGGAGATTTTAGTTACGATTCCGCTGACATCATTAGCCAAACATCTGGCCCACTTGCCTACGACTTGTAGCCACGCTTTATAACTTTTAAATATAATATATGTACCCATATCTTATACATAAATAATAATCATAATAATTCATAGTTATTATGCTTAAGATTAATTAAATTTAAATTTGTAATATTAATTTTTTATTATTAAAGGGTTTCTGACCCTTTAATTTGATGTTATTTTTATTGAAAATTAATTCAAATTACTTTCGCAATAATTTTTGTCATTTTTTTTTTTCAATTAATAATTTAAATTTAATGAAAAGTAGCAAAAGTTTGTAAAAAAATACAAAAATCTGTCGAAAGCTCTTGAAGCTTCTTAATTATATATTTTTTTTTTAATTATTAATTATTTTTTATAAGAGTAATTTATTTTATTTTGACTTTTAATAATTTTTTTTTCAAAATTTGAACAAATTTTTTTTCTAAAATTTAAATATTAAATTTTTTTTTTTAATTCCTAAATTTTATTTTCGAATTATTTTTGTACTTTTCATTGAATTCGTGCTAAAAATTTTATTGTTAATTTAAAAAACATCAAAAAATTGCAGAAATTGTTGCTAAAAAATTGTAATTTAAATTTTTAATCTCAAAAAAATATCAAATTAAACGATTAGGAAGGTTCTAATAATAAAAAAAAATTTTATTTTGAATAACAATAATAATGATCTTATTTCCATATGGAACCTTAGAAAAATGATTAATGATTCACATGACACCTCGCTGACGACGACATTTGATCAAGAATAATAAATTATGAAGAAACAGATCATTTCGGGCATTTACGATCGAACAGCTAACCGTGAGTTAATGTCTTAACATTTGAAGCGCACATTTTTCAACCTAGACCGCCAACAGTTTCAAAAGTCAGTCTCAAGTTAGAGTTAGTCTTTACTTATTCGTACTTTTAAACTAAATGGTTTCGCCTTTGATGATTGCAAGATGTGAGGCCATAGATTTATGGTAAAAAAAAAAAAGTAACGTGCTAAATGTTGAAGCTAGGATAAAACTTAGTTCTGACGTGGATTTACACACCCTTTTAACCGTGTACAAAGTCACGGAAAGAATTACGCGCTTTTTATGGTTACGTTGACATTGCTAAATACAACTCTTTCTTTGGTGACTGTGATCACATCACACATTTATTTAATTAGCACTATTATTATAAAATCCTTAAAAAACTGATTGAATTTTTATTTTAAAAAAATTGTCTTAAAAAAAAATTTTTTTGAAAATTTTATTGAAGAAAAAAAATGATTTTTGATTTTTGAGGAACACAAAAAAAAATTTTAATTCAGTTCCCAGCCAAAATCCATAAAAACTAATGAAAGCAAACGTAAAACCAGGAATGTTTCCTGTCAAATAATATTGTAAATTAAGTTGTGTCATTTAATTGAAATTAAATGCAAGGGATATGCCTCGTAAACTTGTTCACCATTATATATATTTCTAACAATAATGATAATACGGCACCACTACACCAACAGAGAATAAAGAGAATTGCACTACTGAGGTTTCTAATAATAGATTTAATAGAGACACGCTCATTGAGGGAGTAAGTTTGCAACGGCCACCGGCATAAGTCGTTTTATTTCTCAGTTTTCAACCACGGTGGCCACAGTAACGCAAACGGGGAGTGGACACATATACATTTTATTCTGTCTACATTTAAACCAGATCCTTAAAGATGTCATATTACATAGTTTTATTCCTTTTTACTCTTGCTCTCTTACTTTTGAATTATTCAAGTGGCCGCTAATGTACCAAGTACCGAGGAGCAATGATACTGCATTTTATTAACCACCACAGTAGCACTTGTTTATTTTTTTAAAGCCCTTGAATCACTCGTTATTTACATATCGCACGTCATATACATTTATTAAGTTTATACCTGTTTAATTTCTCTTTAAGAATTATTATGGAAATTTTCAAATCTCGCGATAGATTTTCTAATATATGGCCATTTATGTATTCATTTGATCATATATTTGCTGCTCTTTTTCAAAACACAGGTATTATCATACATTCCCATAATAAATAATTTTTGATACTTCCTAATGAACCTATATATGGTTTCATATAAAAATTGGTCGTATCAAAACATACATGGGCATATATGGCTTGATAAGACTTAATATTAATATATCAGGCCCTAAATGATCATATATACCCACATAGAATTTTCCGATTAAAGTTAGTTCTAAAAATTGCCAACAGGTGGCGCATGGTTGCTGAACTATCTCGCTAGAAGAGATTCAATTTCGAGATGTTTAAATTTTACAATAAAAATAAATGTTTTGACTCTTTAGAGAAAGTTATCTGACATTGATTTTTAGTTTAATTAATTACTAAACCAATTTATTTAGTAAAACATATTGATTAGTGTACATATTTCTAAAAAAGAATAGAAAAAGATAATAAATTACCTTAGTCTGGTATGGCCATATATTAAATTTTTTAAGGAAATTTTTCTTTCTTGTACAGATCATCCCAAAAGATTTTGGCGATAGGTGTTAGACTTAATGTGTTATGTTAAGAGTTATGAGTAATGTATCAGTTAATACGGTATAGGGTAGCCGTCTTGTGTGGCTCAAAAACCAAAAGTGCCTCCTGTCTCATTTTAACTTGATTATTTATGTTTTCTTTCGTGGACCGCCGACGCCTGCAGCCACTAAAACCATCGGCTCCTCCTTTAAGCCCCCTTTTCACGTGCAGGAACACGCACCGGTGACGTACGACAACTTATGTATTGCTACGTGCGGTTTGCTAATGCGCCCCACATTTTTATTTGTATCGTAATCGCCGCTTCATCATTTTTTAAGCAGAACCGGGTACTGGGTGACAGCTTTCTATTGACGATTGATATGGAAATATAATATAAGTATTTAGTATTTACTCTTTTATGAGTGATAAATCGTTATCGCACGCGATAGAAAGAGTAGAGATTTAACGAGAGTTAGTTTTTGTGATGCTGGAGTTGAAAGTTGCGGATTAGCAGCAGACGTTTTGGTTATTTTGAATTTCAATAGAATGTTTAGTCAAAAGGGAATTTAAAGTTTCTTTTTATGCAATTTTTAAATTTTTATTCATTAATATTATTTTTATATATTTATACGTTTACTAAAATTAAAAACGTGCGATGTTTAAAATAGAAGCTAGTTATTAGTTTGATTTTGAAACTAAAGAGTAGATCTTGGTGATTGTTAAAACTACCATCGGTTGATAGACAAATAGTCCTAAGCAGACATCTTAAGATGTAATATACCTAATATATCTACAGTGCACAGTACTATAGTGCATACAGTGTATTCAAGATGACAAAGAGGCGCTACAGGTGATTAATTTAGCACCCAAGGCGATCCGCCAAAAAGTATCAATTTAATAGCTCGACTAAGGAGATATTGGCTGCCAGCCAGTTTATCTCTAATTGTCCGGTGTTTTGGAAAGAAATTCATTTAAATTAATAAATTTATAAATTATCCATTGTTAATTTAATTTCATGAGATTGAGATTAATTTCAGTACTGAAAAATCAATTTGTTATCTACATAATTTTCAGTTGCTTTTTCTTTCCTTTGTAATTGTAACTAGATAAAATTAAAATTAAACAATTAATCTATTCAAGATGAAGTAAATTGAATATAGTTAGATATTTATATGCTTGGATTTAATAGAGAAGTCTTGATCTTAGGATTCATACCTTTTCCTTTAAATATCTCACCGCAAAATTAGAATTTATGAATTAAATTATTTTATATATATTTAAATCAATATTAAAATTTTAAAATAGTCGGTTTAAGATTATTTTATTTAAGATCTATTCAATAAATATATCCTTTCAGATCAAAATTAAAAATAGGAAAAATATTTTAGAATTGAAAGTAAAAAATATTGTTTTTTTAAATGATCTTTGTTCAAAATTTTTTTAATTACATTTTTTTTATAGAATCAATTATTTCTATTGTTTGGAAATTTTGTCAAAAATAAAATGATTTCAAAGAATTAATTTTAATTTATATTTTTAATTGAAATTTGCAAGTTCGAGAGAAAAATTTATAGGATAAGCTTTCAAAAAAAAATTACATAAAAGAAATTTATTCCAGAAATTGTTAATTTTTTTTTTTAACTTAAAATTGCAATATTTCTTAAAGAAAATTTTTTTGAAATAAAACATTAAGATTTTGCGCATAAAGCGTTTACTTTTGATCAGTTACAAAAATACGTAACTTTACAAAATTTATAATAAAATAAGAATAAATATGAGCTGAGTAGCATTGTAAATTTAAAATATGATCCATACCAGAACAAGAAAGAAGGAGAGCAGTTAAGTTATGAATTATGACGTGGCGCGAGTAGAGCAAGAAAGAAGGATTATTGTCGGTCGCAAAAGGTCGTTATGAGATTCAGTAAATGTGCGTGTGGTGAACAAGAGGAAGGAAGCAAAAAGTAACTGCAACCAACAGAACCTTTCTCTTATTTTTTGTTTAACTCTTGTTCTTATTTTTTGGACCGGGTTTCTTGTCTCCTTCTTATAGCATATATATAGTATAGCCGTACGAACATTTAAAAAAGTCCAAAAAATATCCTGTTAAACGACTGGCCACTTGATCGTTTCGGCGAGTGAACAGACACAAGAAATGCCGACGTGCGAATTGCTGCCGGCGATCATGTCAAAATTCTTCAGGATTATTCCATCAATCTATTTTCGCTGGATATAAAAATCTTCTAAGGATATATAATACATGGATATATGACGGGGAATTTACTAATTTGTATATATTTATGGGTTGTTGTTGAAGGTACACAATAAATTATTTTTTTGGGTAAACGTCATTGTCATTTAAAAAAAAAAAAGGAATACATAGCTGGATAGTACATATTAGAAGTTTTAGACGCGGATGTGTCGACTGTGACAGACAGCAGTTATTTGGGTTGACAAACAACGCTTGCATGTGTTTCAAAATGTCATTTGTCGGTTTTTACTCTTTTTGTTTTTCAATCGATATTTTAGCAATTTTTTTTTATAAATATTATGATTTTTAATGAATTTTTTTGTAATAAATTTAAAAATAAAAATAATAAATATTTAGAGTTTAAAAATAATTTTTAAAAAATTAAAATCTATAAAATTTTTAATTTTTAACACATTTTTTAATAGAATAAAATTTTTTTAACATATTAAAGGTTTCAAAATTAATTAAAAAATGTATTTTCTCAAATATTATTGATTATTATTATAAAATTACCGTGAAATAGAAAAATTATTAAGTATATTTTTAAATAATAATTTTATCTTAATGAAATAAAAAAACAAAATTGAATAATTACCCAAAAAAATTTAATTTTCATAAATTTTTTATCTAAATAAGTCGGAATAGTATTAAAAAAAATTGGATACATAGGAAAATAAAATTTTATAAATATGGATTTGGATGATAGTTATAAATAAATCAAAATAAGATTAACAGACTGTTCGAGAATGAGAATGAGAAGACGATAATGACAGTAAGGAGTAGTGAACAGACGTGAAAAGTGAGGAAGAAAGTGGTGCGAGAACGAAGCGCGACCAAGAGCAAGAAACCCTGGGTAATTGCTGGGGCATCTCTTCGCACCTCATCATCATCATCAACAGCTAGGGCTGTTGTCGTCGTATAAACGTCACGAAACACGTCGTGAGAGGAAGTAAGACCACCCGTGCTAGCCCATAAGTATTTGAAAATATATTTTCACCTAGTTTTTTTATCGCGATGAATGAAAAGCTCACCATTTATTATTTTTCAATTTTTTTTTTAACCTATTTATAGGTTTTGAGCACAGTGGCTCAATGAAAGGAGAAGAAGGCGAAGAAAGAGTTGGAAAAATTTTGAAAAATAATCGTTGACCCAGCATGTGTGCCGGACATATATACACACAGAACATTCTTTGAATATTTTTTCGTAAATATGACATACGTCGCCGAGAATGCAACATTAGTCGTGATGTGCATCAGACCACCCAAGATGCTACCATTCTAAACGACCATAATGAAATATGGTAATTTGGAGCCCTGCTGTCTAAAGAAGCATTTTAAAAAAACATATATATATATATATATATATATATATATATATATATATATATATGTTTTCAATATTTTATAAAACAAGAAAATACTTTGACGTTTTGAGTGATAATGACCAGAGTGATAAAAAAAGGTTTACCTTGTTTTTTAATTTCGCAACAAAAATATAATTATAATAAATAACAAACCGTAAAAGATAAATCGCATGCATTTAAAGATTATCGCAAAAAATCAATTTAAACGTCTTGGACTCGGAAGAGGAATTAAAAATGACTGTACATATGTATGAGGCATATGTGTGTGGAAAAGAAATATATATTAAATGAAGGATCAAAAATATATTTAATAAAAATTCAAGCAGGAGCATATAACTCTTTCGTCAACGTCTTGCCTGGAGTGACCGAGGCGAATTAATTCTCTCGTTTCATCTTGTGTGAAGGCTATAGGTGCTGTGTACGGTTCGGAGAACGCTCAAGTAAGTGGAGAAGTTTCTGTTTAAGGTACTAAGGAGTTTATATTCATTTCGGGGATTAATGAGGCTAGTTTTAGGTTTTATGTGAATTTTAAAAATATATGTGAAATGTTAACAAAAATTTTCAATAAATAAACGATTTTTAAAGAGATAGTGTTTCTTATGGACAATTTTTGGAAGAAGTAAGTGACAAATATGTCAGATGCTAAAATGTGGGATGAGATTAAAGCCACAAAATTTAAAATTATGGTGTTAGAATGAGAAAAAACTCGTGAATGGTAATAAACGATTTTTTTTTAGGTCTGGGCCCATAACCTGTTTGCAAAAAATTTTTTTTTTGGCCATATAAGGATATATATGAGAGAAAAAGATAATTTTTCATAATAATAAAGATAGCTGACATTTATGATTATTTTATTTTGCTTAATTTATTTAATTATAACTAAAAAATATTTTTAAAAAATTGCACTTATAGTTTTTGAAGTATTTAACAAATAAAAAAATTTTTTTTGTAATAATTTTTTCATAAAAATTTTGAGATGTCGGCTAACTTTATTTTCATTAATTTTTCAATTTTTTAGAGAAATTTTGACGCAACTAACATGTTTTTCTAAACAAAAAACTTGTTGAATAATTGAATAAATTAAAAACCGATCTTAAATAAGCTTTTTAGAAGAGTCAGAAAAAAATTTTTGCTTTAAAACTTAACTTCTCAAAATTAAGTCTCTAGTAACGAGATGATTTGGCGACTATGCGCCACCTGTCGGAAATTTTCAAAACTACATTTTGTCGAAAAATTATTTACAGGTATATACGATCATTTAAGGCTTGGGTTAGGCTTATAAAGATATATCAAGCCAGATATGGTCCAATATGGCCAATTCTCATAACAAGCCGTTTATGAATATAATAAATTGTAAGATTCAGTCATTTATGGACATATCAGGCCATATTAGGAAATTTTGACGATTTCATAAGTAAAAATATTTGATAAATATTTTTTGCTTGAGTTTTTAATAAGAACTCATAAAATAACTTTTGACATGAAACATTTAAAGACGAAAGTCGTTAATTTGTCGGTGATTATAATACTTAAGAAATAAGAGTTAAAACCGGAATAAATAATGTAAAAATCATAATGATAATAATATGAACGGTAGCAAAGAGACATGTGGAATAATAATCAAAATAAAAATAAATAGCGTGTAAATAAAAATGAGACTTACGAGCTGATTCTGATAGGCGGTGACGGCGGTGAAAATGGCCTCCGGGAATACGAAGGTCTTGTGTGGCTCACGTTCAAGATCCTCTATTGGGTCCTTGGCACCTGAGTCCGGTCGCTTCACCAGGTGGATTCGCGGCTGGTACTTGTGCATTGAATTTAATACCAGCTGTTTTATTTAAAATCAAATCAAAAATCATAAATTAATATTTACATTTAATATTCAATCTTGTTTATTAATTTTGTAGAAAAAAATTTTTTTTTCTTTTTAGTTAGGATAATAAAAAGGAATATCGATCTAATATTTAGCCAGACAGTCTGCAGACTGTCAAAATGAATTAAAGTGAATTAATAATGTCAACGATCGCGAAATGAGCTATTGTACGGAGATTGGAAATACACGAAAATTAAATGTCGTCTGCTCGTTAAATCATCCGATATAAATCGTCCGACTAGGATTAATAAATTGTTGAAGCTCGACTTAAATATTTACGAGCTTATTCTTGGAGCAGTACCTCCTGTTCATAAATATATATCCTGAAATTTACAATACCCCATTATTTATCCACCCGGTTAAACAATTTCCAATAATAAATCTTATCACTAAATCATAAAATTTTTTTCATTTTCCATTTCATTTTCGAATGTTGTTAAGCTACACTTTTTAAATATTATGACAGTTTACTCGATAAACTATCTTGAAATAATAAACCCAACTAAAAGGAAAATAACCGCAACCAAAGTCAAAATATTTATTGTTCAGCAATTTTTTAAATGGCGCCCATTGTGTGCTTCAGAACAAAGAGAATGATCATTCATCAGATGTTAAGTATTTTTTGGTAATGTTAACAATTTTATAAACATTTTCTTTTTAAGCAAACGCTTGTTTCTTCTCAACTTGTCATTTTACAAATATATATGAAGAATATAATGTATAAACATATAATTTCCTCCTTGTAATCACTCTAGCCGCCAGAATATTTAAAATATTAAGCCCATTTTTTTTAATTAGCTTCAAAATGACTTTAAGCGAAGATATATTAAATATGGCTGCTTAATTTAATGTCAATTGAATACCTTTGTGTAAATAAAGATCAGTTTTCAAGGTGACATTAATTAGAGTTATACTTTTTGCGCATGCGCTACACTTCTATCATCTGAACAGAAAACAGCGCGAAAATTTTAAATAAGAAATTATTTCTGAAGTGGAAAAAAACTTACATGTCCATGTCGGTCCATTTCATTGTTAGTAAGCTTAACTTTTTCAAAAGAAACAATCTGCTTCCTCAATTGTTCTCCCGTGAAGGGCGAGTCGGGATGAACATAGAGCCTCGCCGGCGCTGGAGGATCTGCTTTTCCAGCCACCAGCCACGAGCTCCTGTGGTAGGCGTATCTATACCTTTTTTTATCAACCGGTACAATGTCCATCAACACAGCATACCGACCGTCAGGTCTTAGTCCGTTGAAAGACACTCGACAGGTCGGAAACATCCTCCTGTAACAGAACAAATCACAGCTCCGTTATAGTACAATCATAATAATTCATTGAAGTCTATGTTCCCGTCATGTCTCAAATATTAATTCATGAGATTTAGAGAAAAAAGAAAAATTTTTTTACAGGCATATTTTTATTTTAAAAAAGACTAGCAACCTTGCAGTCACTATGTGACTTATAAACTATAAATAAATAAAATTTTGCTTTATTAAATAGACGCTTTTAAAGATATAAGCTCATCCCGATGATATACTCCTCAAGAGCTTTTATTTGAGTACCCACATGCATTTTGATATATTTTTCATATATACATATATATAATATATATAAATATATGAAAAATTGATATGGGTACTCTAATGAAAAGTCTCGATGAGTGTAATGTCGGGGTGACCTTATATCTTTAAAAATGTCAATAGTTCACTAGATACAGGGTCATTTTTTAATTATGTTAAATTGCACTGTACTTTCTTAACTATTGAAGTTTTTAAAGATATAATAAGCTCATCCCGATGTTACACTCATCAAGAGCTTTCATTTGAGTACCCACATGAATTTTGATATATTTTTCATATATACGTATATATATATAAATATGCACAATATATATAAATATATGAAAAGTTGATATGGGTACTCAAATGAAAGGTCTCGATGAGTGTAACATCAAGATGAGCTTATATCTTTAAAAATGTCAGTAGTTCACGAGATACAGGGTAATTTGTTAATTATGGATCTAGAGATAGAGCATTTCCGAATGCAACCTAAATAATCATAAATTGAATATTGGTGAGAATGATATGAAACCATGAAAAAGCATAACTACAGGTCACGACTTTTCCAACGATACCAAATTTAACCATAAAAACCCATTTTATCATATAAATACGCCACAAAATTTTGCTTATTCTCTAAATAAATAAAAGTATCTAAACTATCCTTTTCACGATTAAAAATTACAAAAAATAATAATAATAAAATTTTTTAGTTTAAATCAGAAAAATCCTACTGTGCAATGAATGAATAATTATTCCAAGACATTGAAACATAAGCGCTGATTAAATCTCATTGCAAGCTACTGGTTACCTGGTTAACTTGTTAGGCAGACTCAAAGACCCAAACACCCAAAGTTTAAAGTATATTGTATACATACAAGGGAGTGTGGTACACATGTGCCTTAATCAATTGGCTGACATTAACCACACCTACATCAGAACCCAGGACAAACATATTATTTCGTACAAAAAGATAGTTTTTTGTTTGAGAATGATCACAATCACACTTCTCGCCAGTGCTTGCCCACTTACGACTTACAACTGGTGGTTAGTTGTATGTGAATAAACATATGATATGTACAATGTAGATGTAGACCTACACAGGTTGTGTATATGGATGTACACAATTTAAAACGTAAATGTTTCGCCTCCAAGGAATGAAAATAACATTAATACCGTGTCTGGTCTCCTGCTGTTTGACCACTAAAACGTATATACGGTGGACAACCCGCCGATCTTATCTTTTCTTCGTCTTTGTCCCTCTTCTCTGTCCTTCTTACAATATTCCTTATACCCAATCGTTATACATAAATGTATGCATTCATCCAGTGAATGCATGCTCCGCACTCTACATATTGTGACTAATGCTTTTTATTTGTCAAAATCTTCTTTGTTAATTAATTTAACGCGACAACGGCGACAAACAGATATATAGGGAGATTTATTTGCAATTAAGATTAATAAGTGAAGTGCTACTTCAACTTTTGGTGCAAGATTTTGCAGAGTTGGTTGTATGCACCACGTAGTTGATGAAGTTGATTAAAAACTAATGTTTGATGATACATTAATCTGCTAATGCATGATAATTCGCAACAAAGGTTCAAAAACCATTAACATAAAATGATGCAAAAAGTTGATAGTCGATTTTAAGGTAGTACTACCGTCACCACAAGACTCAAATTTCAAAACCTAACCTTATTTGATTAACGTAATAGATTTCCCTATACTAAATCGCGTTGCACGGAAAAAAGAAAACTTGAAAAATTACAGTTTCATATTGTAATTATTACAGATTTTATAATAATTACATTGTAGAATGTAATATTTACATTGAAAGCTCTGAAAATTAAATTAAAAATCTAATTTAGAAAAATATTATTTCAAACTGTAATTTTTCTAGTTTTGATTACGACAGGGCCGATTTTACATTTTATACTGTAATTATTCCTGTTTTTTTTTTTTCCGTGTGGAGAAAGAGAGACAGAGATAAATTTTGAATGTTTTTCATTAAGTTACCTTAATTTGTTAATTTCAGGTAGAATCAATTAATTCTATTTGAAGCTCAGTCTCTTTTCTTCCTATCAAGTTTGTCGATCCTATATTACATATTATTATTTAAAACTTCAGCGAATTCGACCAATTTCAAACTAGCAGTACAATAAAAAAATGTACCAATTCGAATGAATAAAGGAAGTGAAGGAGCGTATTCTTGAGAGTGGATGGCAAATGAAGGCATAAGTTGACGGGTGAAAAGGAACTGCGACGTAGATCTAATTACTGACGCCCGAGTAAGTGTTCAGCCGGGTGAAGTAACTTCTTCTTCTTTCTTTTACTTTACGTCTTTCGCTGCTCCTTGTTCTTGGCTTTCTTATTCGTGGGTACTTTGTCCATTAAGCTGGTGGTGTAGTCAATGCAAACTTGGAGAAAAGTTGAGGGTGCAGCGGCCAATTAGGCAACCGTCACCCGCGTCGACTTCCACTAGCTATTCTTCAACGACTTCACTTACTAACCCTTGAACTCATTACTGCATAAAATTTTAGAATCACTTTTAGTTTCAGTATTTACTTTAACCGATTCATAAAAACTCAAATTCAATTTATGAGAATCTAAAAATAGCGAAAGCTAGAACCAGTGATTGAATTTGCTGAGGAGGTTGAACCAGCGAGTAGTCCAGCAAACAGTTAGCTCTTTATCTCGCCCCCTGTGGATAGAAGTCTCTGGTGTAGTTTCTGGTCGCTCAGCTGGATAGTGTAAAGGGAGAGAGAAATTCACGGATCAAGGCTGTTAATGAGAAAGAGTCGCCGCTTGTTGACGTTGACATTCCCTGAGTAGAGACATTGATGAAGTAGGTACTATACCAAATGTACTGGGGCTTACGATTAGCGAACTCGGGGAGCAATTTACCCCTGGGACCAAAGGGTTGATATAACTTAATCGATCTGCCGGGTGGTAGTGTCGTTTTATTGCTTTTTCTTCTTTTGTTTTGCTTCTATTCTCGTGTTAAGGAGTAATATCCAGATAAAATTAAATCAAACTAAGCACACGCATTTATTTATACCAAGATTTAGTCATTGGCGTTTTAATCTAGTGATAGGGTTGTTAGAAAAATAACAAGATTGATTGATTACCTTCCGGTTTTTGTGATTATCATTTCGGTGCCCAATTCGTTGAACTTGTCCCAGAGTTCTTTTGTCTCCAGGTGGCAGACGACGTGCCTTAACTCCTCGCAATTAGAATGCTCCTGAAGGAGAGGATTTGAAGGGGATGGCGCTTTTCCACTGGTGCTTCCGGTATCATCAGCTTCTATTTCGTCGTCTATGTCCACTGAGTCTTGAGATGCTGGTGGTATCCTGCTTACTCCTGATCCACTTGCCTCTCTTTCTGCAAAGCAAAAATTTGCAAGTTAAATATACTAAATTAAATCATTAAAAAATTATTATTTATTTTTTAAATAAATAAATAAATTAAATTAGACCCTTAATATTTAAAGGCTTCCCTCTTTTTTCGTTAAAATTTTACGAGCGATAATTCGAACGCGACCATGCGCGACTCAGCCGCGATAATGAACCCAGGAAAAAAATTTTGTCGGCAAGTAAAAAACATTTTGAGATCTGGAGCTTAACTGATGTAAGAATAAGAGCAGAAAATAATTAAAAAAATTGAGTGTGGTCTCCACATATCCACCCACATGTCGTCGAGCCACTGCAATTCGACCCCGATTTTTATTGCCCAACTTTTAGTTTTTTTCCTGCTATTGCAGTGCAATTTTTTTTTTTTTTTTTTTTTTTTTTTTTTTTTTTTTTTTTATACTAACATGACATCTTTTTTCATTCATACCTTCACTCCGCTATACTAACTCTCTCTGTCTTTCTTCCTTTCCTTCTCCGTTTATCAGAAATAGTACAAGTACATAATACGTAAATATATAACATACGACATCGTGTGTGTCACATGCGGCTTGTAAACACACACCCAGATTTCATTCATGCCTCAGTTACATATCAACGGCTCACTCCTAATTAGTGTCTTCCATACATATAAATGTATAATACAGTAAAAGTACTTGAATATAATCTTCTTGAATTGCTGGACAGTAACTCTTCGCACAAGCACCAGAAGAAAATATACAATATACAATATTATATATATACATATAAAATAAAAAAATAATAAAGTTAAAAAAAGTTTGAAGGAAATATACGAGCAAATGCGAATCGAATTGAAGGCTACCGTTCGAAAATAAAAGTTTAAAAAGAAATAAGAAGAAGAAAGAGCAGGATCTAAAAGACTTAACTCTTCTGAAGATAAAGAGAAGCTGAGATCGAGATTCTTTTTCACTCCTTGGCACTTGGTGCGGTTTTTTTTTTTTTTTTTTTTTTTCTTCTTGAACAGAACGCAATTAGGCTCGGCGGGACTAATTGCTCGGTAGGCTTGAGGATGAAAAATATCAGGAAGAGGAAATAATGCAGAGATATCGGGAGAAATAGTCTGAGCTAAAGATGTAATAACACCTACGCCTGATGGTTAGGCTACAGTACTTATTACTTATAACTATAACTAATAAAAAGGTGAAGCAAGGTAATAGGTAATAGCTTGGTTAAGTTTCAACCGGCTGCAGTTCTTCGGTCTTTTGCGGTGTTTAAAGATAAAAACGTTTAATTATTAATTTACGCTGTGGCTTTGGTTTACGACAATTGTTGTTTTACTCTCATTCTCATTAGTTAAAAGTCGTCGAGCCAAGACGAGTAAACGAGCTTAATTGGTAAATTTATTCTAAGTACTTTTCTGATTGACGGATTGTGTTTTTATTATCTACCATTAGAAGAATAGATTATTTTTGTGGCAGATCATTTCTTAATGGAAATTTTTAGTAAAGTTAAAAATTTTTAATCAAGAAAACTGCTTAAATTTATGATAAATTTTTTACAGAAAATCTAATATTATTTTTAGTTTTAAAAATTATGTTTTCAATACTACTGCTGAAATTGACGAGTAAAGTGCGTTAAATTTTTCCTTTCCCGCAAGAAACGATTGACCAAGACTCTAGACTAAACTTAAGACATAAAGCGATTTTAACATCTCAATACTAGGACGGTAAATTAATAACAGCACCTGCGCCTTAGAAAACTGCATAGTGAGGAAAGAGAGAGCTGAGACAAGAGATATAATGTATATTATATAGCTTACAGCGGCTTAACTAACACCGGTTATTATGCGTGCTTTTATTATCGTTACTCACCTATAATAAGTGTTACTTGCAAAGCAACATGACTCCATTGAATGGGCATACTTAAAAGCCTCCAACCTTAAATGCACCTATTCTGCGTACACATATTATTTATAATTAATAATTCTAATCCACATGCCACGCATCAACTTTTCAATCTATTTTCAGGCACACCACCTCTTTATCAGGTGTTTTTAACTCACAGCAACTTAATAAATAACGAGAAATAAATTATATGCCTCTATTGATTTTCAGTTTAGTCAATTCCCGTAATTTAATATACCAAATGGTAATTTTATTTTACACTGAAAAAATTTTATCACACCATCGGCCTTTATTTTTATAATTTATTGCTAAAATTCAGCATAATTTTTTCCTATAAAAATCCAAATTAATGATAATTTAATTCCACTCTTGAATAATTTTGATAATAACGTAGCATATTAATAAGCTCACACACTCACATACATACTCTAAATAAATTAAATTAAAAAAAAAAAAATTAAGACATCAAATAATATATGTTGTCGCAATCCAAATATTGATTAAAAAAACATTTGACTTTTTTTATTTTATCAAAATTCAAACTAAAGCATTTTAAATATACTTAAATATTATTTCCACACTATTAACCACCATATGTTTTTCTCAGTGAAACCCTGATTACACGCATATGCCACATACTCATAGCTCGTGCACGATTTTGTCAATGCAAATCCAAGTACATACTACATACGTCCGTTACGTAAATAGTGTCCATTACACACATAAAGTTGACATGTGGACGATTGGTTAGCACCGACATGGGTCAAGAAGCCGTCGCTCTACTTATGTATCTCCAAGTAATATTTATTAACAGCAATTGATACCTGAGTATCATTTTCTCGAGATCCGATCCGCATGTTTGAGTCCCATATGTCCGATGAAATGACTTTAGTGGGACACGTGCCTGGTTGGTGACACACCGCTGATGAACCGTCCAAGAAAAGGCTCTTTTCACATACGCGTGACCAATTTCGAAACTCTAGCATATGCTTTTAATTTATTATTATATCGTAAAAAGTGCCATGGAAAGGAAAAGGAAAAAGAACGGGAGAAAAGCATGCATGCATTTACACGTAAATAATGGTAAGGAATGACAATAAGAGAAGCTGGGTTGCTTAAAAGATTGGTCTAAATTTGCAACACTGAAGTATCTCTTAATTGGCGAGAGAAGTGTCTATCCTTGGAGCGGTTGTTCATTTTCTTAATGTGTGTGGTCTATATCTTCGTCTACTCTATGGCATAGGAAGGTATTTTTATTCGACAACGTCAACGCTAGTGTTAAACGACTGACGAAAAGCAAAGGACACTGAAGAGAAAATAAAAAATTGTAATAGTAAGAGCAGACACTGTTACTGCTGATGACAAAGACCGGCACCTACTCCAACTTATTTAGAATAAGAGACGGCGAATAAATAACAGTGGAGGTTCAAGATGTAGAGAAGGATGATGATGATGATGATGAAGACGGAGAAAAGTCAGTGTGTGAAAATGCGTGGGACGTTATTTACGAGAATATTCAGAAGGCGCATAAGAATGTCATCATGGAAGATGCAACTGAATAGGAGTGCCGAAGGGAAAAAATATTTTCAGCTCAAATTTTAATACTCAAATATCAAAACTCTAGACAAATTATAAAGTTTTAATCATCAAGATTAGTGAACTCACTGCTATGCTCATGATTAGACTTTAAACAGATGGTGTGCTCGTAAGAATGATGGACCGGAGCAATAAAACACCCTAGCTTGGTGTTTTGGCCAAGACCACAGTCACGTGGCACCAGGCCATCTTCTCATGCTAGACTTTTGCTGGACTATACTTTAAACTTTAAAGTTAGTATTCTAGTTTATAGAATCTGTTTCAGAAGGATTTCAATTCTTCACCTGGCTGCCAAGACTCGAGCTGTTAACCAAAATTACGTGCCAAGTTTAATCTATAAAGATGATCTAATAGCTAAATATTTCGTAAAGACTTGTCACTGTGAACTTTTTCATGGGTCCAACTATAGTTGGATAATTGAGTGTCTTTATTGGGTATTAAGCACTTTAGAAAAGAGGTATGTAGTGGAGGCAATTCATAAGGACGGAATGACTTTCAAAATCTCCGAAGATGACTGGCGTTTTGTTGAAAAAAAGTGTTGATGATGCCTGGAGTACTATTGTCCAGGTCACAAGTGCATCAGCTAATAATAATTCATTGAAGAATAATGTATGCCGTATCCACACAATGCTGTTTCATAAGAGTCATTTGTCGAGAGTCTGTAGTCTCTGTTCAGTATACAGGAAGACCACCTCACAAGTATCCTCATCATCTTGATCGTCATAAATTGAGCATACGTGTATGTGCCACAGATAAGAGACAAAACGTAAGACGTAATGCCTAATTGACGGTTAATAGCGAGTGAGTATGAGAAAGAGTTCGTAAATAACCAGCATGTTGGTTGTTTTAGCATTGACATCCATCACTTAAACAATGACATAGTTTTGTCCCGTTAAGCTGTTATTTGCATTGTGGGCAAATGTATACTTATTGAGTAACTGGCAACTGGTATAAGAATAAGTTCGCGTGCTGCACTTAGTCGTCATGGCGATCCGCGAAAAGGAATAGAAGGTTATCGAGTTTAAATTACATAGAAACGTGAATTGAACGGAAAACGAGTAGGATAATAGCTAATAGCTGATAGTTAGCCATCCACGTGGCTCTGTTCTATTCTATAATTTGCCCTTGCCATTCTGATATATACTGTGCCGTTTACTGACGAGAAGGCGGACCGCCACTCGACGTTTCAGCCTCAATCGCAATTGCGGCAAAACGTTGATACTTATTATTATTATTATTATTATTATTATTATTATATTACAAATACATATATAATATATAATAACATATTGCAAAGAGGACCTTTTGTGGTTACAGATTTCTAACATGCCACATGCAAATGGAATCCACTTGTAACTCTCAGTTAGAATTCTGTGGTTGCGGTCAATAATAAAATCATCGTACTTTCAAAATTGACTATTATTGAATAACCTAGTAATTAGCATTTGCGCTCAACTGGGACTTAGTTATTTCGTAAGTAATCCACCAGATTTCTTTTCTGGCTAACAGACTTTGGTATAATTAACTCGTTGATTAGCTTCAATAATAATTGAGGATATTTTATTGAAATTTATAAAGTTTGAATATAAGTCAATTAACGATTAATATGATAAGTGTGCTGTCAACATTAATTCTAACAGATTGTCGTTGATAGTGCCTGAATTAATAGACGTGTATGCATACATTTATCCACGACTGTGCTTGTGGTTGTATATATTTAGTAATAAAGATAATAGCTTTTAACCATTACTGATTTAACATTCACCAATTTGCATTCCCGCACAACATTCTTGGTCACCAATATACGTCGTTATTACGGATGATCTACGATACCTTGGTTATAGTAGTAGTGTAATTGTAATCGTCGGCTAACTGCGCTGTTGAGTAGTAGTCTACTGTATACACGGGTTGACAATAAAAGACCAAACAGGAATAAAATAAATATTAAGAAATAGCTAGTAGCTGAGTTTAATAAGATTGAGATGCGGGTTGGCACGTAGCCTCTTTGGCACACGTTTTGTTCTATATATTCAGTATGGTGTGTGTGCCACCAAGACGGTTCATTAACGCTGTCATTTTACATCATGTGTGGCTTGAATATATGTCTCGAAGACAAGTGGACGATGAAGAAGCTATTTGCAGCTTCAAGCTTCAAAAGTTTCGGTTAATAAATAACTTTTCAAAAAGGTTGCCTTACTACCAGACCCAGCTTACTTATTATTTAGAAATATTCACAACTTATCTGCTGGTAGTTCATAGTTGGAACACGCTCAAGATTCATATTTTCCGAACTAATTTATCTGTCAAGAATGGAATCAGGAAATAGCATTGCTAGAATGCCTCATGCAGTTATATGATAACAATCATAACCATGATTATGATCTATCCTCCTAGCTCACAATTTGGCGACACGGTCATAACTACTCATCTCAAATCTTAACAACTATAAGCTAACATATTAAACAACAAATAACTTACCAAACTGGTGAAGCTTCCCGCCAATAGATTGTTGAAGATGCCTATTGGACTGCTGTTGATGCTGATGAGCTTGCTGTTGTTGTTGACGTGAATCCCGTGCCATAATGGCAGCAATGCTGAAGTCTGTGGCACATTGCCGGTTGGAATTACAATTACTGCTGCTACTGCTGTTGTTGTTATTCAAATTATTAAGGAGGCTACTGTTCGGCGACCTGGAGCTGTCATCGCCTTCAGGACCGTCATCTCTCGCAGAACATCTGTCAGGAATGACTCCAGGTGTCACAGAGACAGGAGTTGTCTCGGGTTCGCCGCATCGCGGCATTCTCCCGCCGTCGGCGCCACCCCCGAGAAGTGACTGTGATGAGTCCTCCTCGTCCTCCTCGCTGGCAGGACCCACCCCGCCGTAGGTAGTCAGGGTCAGTCCGTTTCTCTTCCTTGCAGCAATTCCTCGCGACTCCAGCAACATCACCTACACCCGCAGACACCACCAAAGTCCCCAGCTACACTGGTAACTATTTTGTTCCAGGTCACTGTCCTAATCTCCAATCACCAATCACAAATCCGTCAGTCAATTTCTAATTAATCACACCAAGTCCTTCAACAAAACTTCAATTCACTTCCACTAACGAATACTTGAATACTAATTTAATCTTCCGAGTTAAAACCACTAATCGAGGCGCACACCAAGGACCATAGCTCCTCTATCAGTCTGAAGGGTCATAAGCACAAAGTGGATGCAGCAGCTAGGTTCTGATGATCACTCATCGAGTAACTGAGCATCCTCACCAGGTATCCTTATCAAAAAGGCCGCACTACCGCCTACTATCACTTCGGAACGTTATCAAGCACTGATGGGTAGCAAACTGAGCAACATGGAGCAAGGTTGGTGATCAGGCGGCCCCAGGCTTGTTATCAGTGTGTGTGAGTGACGTGTGTAAGTGAGCCAATGAGACCGGTCAGACATTAAATAGCAAGAAGAGCAAGATGTGTTCAAAAAATCGTGAGTGTGAATGGGGTGGATCGAACCGTGAACGCGCGGACAGACGATCGGTTGGACCGAGTAACAGACCGGTTGCCTGACAGACTGACCTGCGCCGCTTACGGGATGGCTCGCACTCACATCCGCCCCCCGCGTTTCTTTCCTACCCTTCTTTCCCACTCTGAACCGACTCGACGACATCAACGAGAACGTATTACTCGGGTACTGACTCTGGGCGTTGCCATCCAAGGCTCCGCCCACTGGGTCCCACCAACTGGACACGCCTCCAAAAGATATCCAGGTCGTTATTGCTTGATCCGCAGGCTGTCAGAACGCCTCTTCACCAACACCAGGACTGTCTTTATTCAACACAAGCCCATTATCTTTATCGTGGTCGTTTACCACCACCAAAAGCGATGCCACCCCGTTGGAAGGGACGGCGTCTACGTGCGAACGTTCACGGGTGGCGACCCTCGTCTCTCTTCTGTCCTGGTTACTCTGATGTTGCCAAGCTGAGATACCCAGGCAACACCTTTTTTTATCGAAACATCACCTTTCTCTCCTTAGTCTCCGCGTCGTCGTACTCCTCTTGGTAGTCGTCAGATGAAGCCTGTGGTGTGAGCCACGGTTATAAGTGTGATGCACGGTACACCACCAGTATCATTCTCTCTCTTTTCCGAAAATAAACAACCACCTCTGAGAGAGACAGAATTTACTGATAGAGAGAAAGAGATGCTAAGGAAAACCAAGAAGGATTGGGGAGAAGAAAGAAGAGATGCTGTTATATACTCAATATTATGGTCTCGTACGCGCCATCTAAACCTACAATAAGCGGTGCCAGTTCACCCAGAGCCAGCTGCCATTTTTTCTTCCCAAAGGGATGTGCTGAAGAGGGAGCTGCCACCAGAACCAGGAGTTTCAGAGGTGGGAGGCTTTTGCTGACAGCACTCTGGACCCGGAGCAGACCGGTCTGAATCCCCTCACTCCTCTCCCCTTTTCTTTGCTGATACTTGGTTTATATCAGCCCTGATATGGTATGAGCTCCATCTTCGGCCCTCCAGGTCCTCGTTCAGTGGCCTCAACAGCCACCAGCTTTCAAAAAGGCACTGATTCATTGTTTTGCCGTCGACCGTCGGAAACTTGGCCCGCGGATCACTTCTCAGGTCTCGGGTGTGAGAATGGGCGGAGGCCTTATCAACAGCGGGGGCGGCCGGCATTGGGTGGGTGGAGTGCGATATTGTATTAACGAGCCTTGTGGTGGGAGAAAGATGGACGACGCTAATAGAACTAAGTAGAAGTGGATGGACGATCCGATAGGGCTTTTTATCATTTTGATAATGTGGGTGGGGACAGCAAGAGTACTAGAGACTATTTGCTATTTTCTATGAGCTGTAGGAGGGACATTTCGCAGGACAATGTTATAAACAATGCCTTTGTGCTGCTGGGCACTTGACATTTTGAGCTTGAGTTTTTCTTGGTAAATTTTTTGTCAGGTCTTCTCATTCAGAGAAATTTAAAATTTTAAGGGTGTTCTGTGACAGTCGACACCTATCAGTCCAAACGAGCCGACTTCTAAGGGATTATGTGTCGCCATTATTATTCCACCTCTTTTCTTCTGCTTTTCCATCGCCTTTGTTCATTATATTGTGGTGTATATCGATGTGCATGTAGATGTATTGTTGAGGCTGGCGTACATTGTGATACTCCAGCGCTTCACTTCCTCACAACTTCTCCAAGGTTTTTATTGTTCTCATCGTTATTACTGCATATTCTCGAGGGGCTAAAATTGTAAATGCCTCGCCTCTCATCTTTACAAAAAAAAAAATCAGTCGTTCAAGTAATTTTAGTCTTATTCAACTCCTCTGTTCTTCAAAGGAATAATGATATTTTTTGTATAATTATAGAAATTTTTACTTTTAAAATATTCGCGATAATATATGTAAGATGAATATTGAAAATCAGGAGTGTACATTTTCATTCAAGATTATGATTTGATTTTATGGAAGAGGTACAGATAATTTTGAGCTAAGGATTTTGATTTTTTCTAATTTATGAATGATTGTCTTAGATTAAAAAATTTTATTCAACGTTAGAACTAATATTGACGTCAAGATTAATGTTTACATTCTTGCGTAAATAGTGTACGTTTTATCTTTCCTATGTGTCATATTTTTGAGGTCGATGAAATTTTTGTGTTTGAATAAAAACACTAATGAGTGTAGCTGAAAAATATTGAACTTGACATTCCTAGTTGAAAAAATTAGACATAGATATAAAATAAAAGGTGAAGGTTGATAACTTTTAATTTTATTTTGATGATTAGTTTTTTGATGAATTTTGAACGTTTTCAAAATTTTAGTCATGAAATTTGAATTTGTTCAATTGAAATAAGAATTCAAATCTTCAAAATTGGATTTTGATCCCATGATAGTTTTTTTCTAATGTTCATCAAGAAATTTCGTAGATTGATGGATTTTTTGTTCATAAATTTCACGTAAAAAGTAATAGTCAGAAAATTAGGAAAATTTTATGCCTTCAAAAGCAATAATTTGACATTTGTATCAGTTAGACCTAACTATTTGAAATTCACGACTGAACAAGTCTCATTTGGGCCGCAATATTCCCGACTAAGGATTAAATGAGACTTGTCCAAAGTGTATTACTTTCCAAACTGAGGGCAAAATTAGGTTTTCTTCATGAAAAGAAGATTCTACTGATCTCCAAAGTAAGGATTGTCTGATGCAACTTTACATTGAATGAGACCAAAATTCGGTGTTGTCCAAAGTACAAAATGTAGAAAATTAAAGATAAATTTTATTTATTCAATAGTTTAAATTTATTAATTATGCTGATGCAATACAAATTTGACACATACGTACAAAATATTTCCCACATACATCAATGTTAATATCATTCGTGTACTTGAACATATACAATTTTCCAAACTCACTTTTACAAAGATTATCTTATAAACAACAATCGTAATGTTATCGAACAATATTGTAGATTTAAAAAAACTATTTTCTCAAATTGCATTCCTTTCTGCGAATTGTTGCTTGCTGCGCTTTGATGAGTCCGTTCCGTCAAAACAGTTCCAGAACACTTAGTATTATAATAACTGAATCGTTCCAGTGATTTAATCAACAGATGTTTTATCCAGTAACTCTTTATCATCTGCAAAGATTTTAATTATCAAATCTAAAATATTTGAAATAATTCCCAAGTTTTTCCTAATTATTCATAAATTAAACATTAAAATTGAAACTTACATTTCCATATTTAATATTAAAAACAAAGTACATCCATCTGTAATAAGGAAGTTATTGTGCAATACACAAAACTATAAGCAGACAGATAATTTTTCACTTAGACATCTATTATTCGCAATAAATTTACAAAAAACATTTCCTCCAGTAATATTCCTAGAATATAAATAATATATGATGAATGGTGTCTCGTACTTCAACGGCTGACAATTATTATTACAGACATTTGCACGTGAACTAGAATTTCCCGGATGATCTAGCTCTCAACTTCTGAATGTATACATACATAGCAACAAGATATCTAGCATCAACACAAGATACGAATTACTCGTACGACCAGGATAAAAAGAAAAATATATATGGAGAGAAGATGATGGAGACTGCTGTCTGCACATCACTGAGTAAGCTTATATTAAAGTATATACACATAAATATAACATATAAAGATCCACGCTGTTTATATGTCACGTCGCTTTGAAGTGGTCTCCGGAGCGTCGTACTAAACATATATATCTTCGCCGCGTCTGCTCACGTTAATAGTCACTAGTCACATCCTACCTGATCATAATATGCACCAGTCATAATAATAAATGCTTCAAATGGCGTTATAATATCCTTAAAAAACACATACTTATTCTCATACATACATTTACATGAAAAATATTTTTTATTATACAGGCGAATATGTAGAAATAAATAATGAACCGGAAGAGCAAGAAAGCGGCTCATCTTTGACGTTAATTCGCAAAACTTCAAATGTATGATTAATATACTGTGTTTTATGTTTTGAATTTTCATACTGCCGTAAAGTTACTACGGCTCAGCGAGTCTTGGACTCTGCGCTGGTCTGGACTAGTTTTATTACTTTTCTAAGTTAATTAGAGGCTTTTAAAATTTATACGAGTCTGACTGTTTTTATATATAAATATAAACATTTTTAGTTCCTTCTAAATGAAATTGTTTTATTTTTTATTAGATTTAATTATGGAGTTCAAAATTAAAAAAAAAATTATTTTATAAATAATTATTTTCAATTTCTATTTTCACGACAGAAAAGATAAAATTGACGGTTTCGAGTTCGAGCCCGGGACGCGATTTTTTTTTTTTAATTTATTTATTTGTTTTTTAACCAATTAAAATTTAAACTTGTAAATGTTAATTATTTTAAATTAATTACTTGATGAATAAGCGAGAAATTGGTGACAATATTATGTTCATATAAATTTCTTGCATCGCAGTTTATATAAATATCTGCACAGACATATATGAGACGGTGATTATAACTTATAACTTTAGAGCTGATATAGACTGTTATTAGTAGGAGATATAAACGAAATATAAACAGACAACAGACGTGTGTATTATTAAACGTATTACGGTGCATCTAGATGATAGCGAATTACTCTGATTATAGGATAAATTATGAGATCAAGTGGGTATGTTTTTCTGGAAATAAATTTCGGTAAAATTTTCAGTTATTTCGTCACTGTTTAATCGAGTTAGTTTAATTTTGATTGAAATAAATTTATAAAAAATAAAGTGTGAAAAAAAATGTAAAAAATAAATACTTAATGGTTGAAATTTTAAATTAATTTTGTTGAAATTTATGATAAAAATAAATTAGCTAAGTTGTAGAAAAATAATAAGAAAAAATTTTTATCTTTTCTTTAAAAGTGTAATTTTTTAGTAAGAGATTGAAAATAATAACATCTTGTATTACAAAAATAATGCAGGATAAGTAATTTTTTTTTTAGTATGATAATTTACATGTACATCGGCTAATTTGAATTTTATTACTTCCAGAAAAAACAGGCAATCTCCTTGATTACATTTAATTATAATAATTAAAGAAATTGAAAGTATGAAAATTAAACAGATACCCTTTAATCGGAAAACGAATTATGTAGTTAACAAATGTGATGATCATGAAAAATTAATTTCAATAAATAAATTATTATTTTTTTTTAAATATCCATTGAGGATGTAAATATCGTGGGAAAAAGTATTATTGAGGATTTCATATTTCTGTAATAATTATTGTAGAGTATCATTATATTATAAAATAGAATTTATAATAAAAGAAATAATAATCATTGAATTATATACATGAAAGAAAAAAAAAATAAAGTTATAGTCAAAGAAATTTTGCAATAAAATCATTTTTTTCGGACAAATATTATACAGAAAAAAAAAAAAAAAACAATTTAATAATTAATGTTTAAAGTCTAAATTTTGATTTTTAATTTTTTAAATGTATTTCTGTATTATTTATTTATTTATTTATTTCTTAAAAACTTACTTTTTTTGTCAGGGCAGCTAACTATTAACATTTCGTGTTATTTTTTTTTCGTACAAAAAAATTGAATTTAATAATCAAAAAAAAATTTTTGAAACAAGAAAAAACCAGAAATTCTTTTGATCATATGTGTGACTAAATAATGGTGGATTAAAAACAAAACTTCTCGGACATCTGGAGCTCACCGAAGCCAAAAGTGTGTCTTTTGTAGCTTACTTACAAAATGAGCTTGTTATGAATGTGTAATAACATCAGAGAGAAAAAAATAAAAGCTAAAGAACTTTTTAGCGAACTCGGCTAAATCTTTTAAAGCTTTGCACCCTCTCCTTCTCAATAACATCCTAAAACATATCCACCTCTTGTCTGGCATATTATATTATTTCGCTATAGCACAAAGCGGCCGGCATCAAAGGTTTCAGTATGTTTGGACTGTTGGGCTGTCACGCGAGCCTGTTTAGCTCACTACACATAATATATAATACTACAGCTTTACTCTACTCATTTCATTTCAAAGTTCTTTTTATTTACGTATTATCCCATTCCCATTACAAAATACATATCTAAACGCAAAACGAGACTGTTGGCACGCGTGTCGATTCCTCATTTCTTCTCTATGATATATGTTTGTTTCCTTTTTTCCGTAAATCGTTTATTCACTTGCCTGCCCGTCCAAATCAACCCTTCCGGGCACGGAGATTCATAAATGCCAGCCATTTACCTGATGCACCACCTTCTATCCTTTCTTCCTTAATCCTTAAGCATTACAACAGACGTAGACGTCAATCATTTTTTTAACAAGCTACTCTCCTATTGTTACACTTAATCATGCAGACACAATACATCTATACTGTTATTTTGACTTTGGCTTTTAGAGTAATAAATTTTTTCTAAATGATTTTTTGCGTGTGCCAAAAATAGTAAATTAACGATAATTTGACATCTTTTCGGCAAAATGATTTGTCAGTCACGTTTCTTTATTTTGTTGCGAAATATTTTCTTACAACAGTTGCTAAAATACAATAATACTTACCTAAATATTCAATACTTATTTTTATTACAATTAAAAAAATATTAAAAATTTATTTAAATTACTGTCAAAATATTTTTAAAAATTTCTAGTTCAAAAATTTAATTTTAAAATACTTGAAAAAGTTTTTAGTATTTTTTTCTTAATAGCAAATAGGAAGACGAAGATTTAAAAAAATTTTTCGAGCGTTATTGAACAAATTATCGAGAAAACAAACTATTGCTTTAAGTTGATCAAAAACTAGCCCTTTGACACAGCGAAGCCGTAGGTCCTGGGTTCGATTCTTGCAAACGATCATTATTAAGAAAAAAAAAATTTTTCTTCTCTAATGTTCTTGTGATTTATTTCAGTAAAATTAACTTGAATAGGAAAACATTTACCCAGGAATTTAATCTATTAACCACATAGTCACTTTAGAGAAAGTAAATAAAAAAAATGGATTCCGTATGGCTCCATACGGCGATGGTTAATCTTGAAAGGGGTTTTCTTCGAACAAAGGACCAGAAATGTTCATAATATCACAGCAGTAGTTCATCATGTATCCACTTAATGTAGGACTACTTAAAGCTCAAATTAAAGAAAAAAAATATTAGTTTTTCAAATAGACATGATGTATGTGCGTTACATATACATATATCAATACAAGCATAAGCTGGATAGAGAAGAGGATAAGAATCGACTTAGTGACGGTTATAGAATTCATAAACATAAACTGGTCTTTTATCTTTGACGTAGAAAAAGTTAAGATTCATCTTGATTGGTTGAGACTCCTGTGAAATGTGAACAACACACTTGTTTCTTTTTTATTTTTTCTCGGTATCGTGTCAATAATTGACGAGATTGAAGGAGGACAATTCCCATTCGTAGAAGGGGATTTATATCGATGAGATGAGAAGAGTGACCGATATCCGATCACTGATGTCATTTACGGTCTATGATACGAATTTATAAGGGAGTTAACTCGTGGGATTTTTTTATCTACGTAACATAACAATAGACAAATAGTTGTGAAATATATTTTTTAAAGGCGAGATAGATAATACACTTACTCATTTACAAACACAGCTCCCGATGGACCAGACAACCGAACTCCCGTGTCGAATCCTGTATTCTTCTTTGATGTCACTTCATGCTACCTCGTTTTGAAGGGGCTCTGATAATCTGCTTAGCTTGACGCTGATCCGGACAAATCGCCGCGCGGTTACGCGGCACTTATCCGTAATATAACTGCTGCACCTACTGTCGCTTAGAGCCACATATTTTATTCGGTTTACATTTTTTGCTCGAGTTAAATAATAGGTTCAATAAAATATCCAACAACGCCCGGATATCGTGAGTCTGCAGGATTTTTTTCGATCGATAGATTTGATAAGTCTGACTTGTTAAGATTTTTTTATAAACTTTTTACTGCAAGCTTAGAAAAAATTTAGTTTCAAATATCACGTCTGGAATAGTCAAGAATTTTAAAAATTTTTAATATAATTCTTTTTTTGGGGCGCGCAGTAGCCTATCAGATCCGGCCCTTGCTTACCAAAGCATTGGACCGGGTTCGAGTCCGGCGTACACCAATGAATATTTTCAATATTTAAGTGTATTATTCTGCTCAGCCCAAGAAATAAAACGAGTTCCAATCTCAAAAGTTTACCCCCTACCGTAGTCGCTCATGACCTTAGTAGTTTATGCGACTTTAAACAAAATAAAATAAAAAAAAAAATTCGTTTTTTTTTTGTAATTCAAGAATTTTAAAAATTTTTAATATAATTCTTTTTTTGGGGCGCGCAGTAGCCTATCAGATCCGGCCCTTGCTTACCAAAGCATTGGACCGGGTTCGAGTCCGGCGTACACCAATGAATATTTTCAATATTTAAGTGTATTATTCTGCTCAGCCCAAGAAATAAAACGAGTTCCAATCTCAAAAGTTTACCCCCTACCGTAGTCGCTCATGACCTTAGTAGTTTATGCGACTTTAAACAAAATAAAATAAAAAAAAAAAAATTCTTTTTTTTTTTGTAATATTAATTTCTGTATTTTTTTTAATTTTATTTCCAAATTAAGAAGAATTTAATTATATTGTAATTTTTTATAATGAAACTACCAAAAAAATTTATTAAAATTCGGTGATTTTTTTTTAAGATGTCAAAATTTGGAAAAAATATCCCATAATAAAATTGAGATGAAATTTATGTGGCATCAAACTATTCGTAACGTGATTGGTCGAATATATCATAAGCATGAAAATATATGCAAACTCTATAGTCAAGACGCGCGCTTGCGCGCGAAAATTAAATTCTAGTTTTAATTAAAAAAAAACAAATCAAATCTAATAAATATAATTTTTAAATTATAAATTTTAAGAAAATTCGTTTTTTGAGAACATTTAATTTTTTTAATTAGAATAAAATTGCAAGTGTCAAAAAACTAGGCCAGTGTCAATAACTGGGTCTTTTATAAAAGGTATACCTTATAATTTTTCAACAAATTTACTTCTAAAAAAATTATTCAGAGCTTTTCAAAAATTATACGATTATCTCAAAATATTTTTTAAGGGTTACAAAAAATTCACATGATTATAATCAAACCCTTCAAGAATTTTATCGGGTTAATTTTTTTATCATCTCAAAATTCAGACATAAAAATGTGCAAGAAATATAAAGATTCTAAAATAATTCAAATAAAAAAAAAACGTTAAACATAATAAATATGAATGCACTCGAAATTGTTGAACGAAAGTCAATTAGGAGCAAAGGATCAAAACAGCTGAATTAATTCGCTGGCACGTTAGATTCCTTCAAGGGTTGTACTGTATTTGTTAGTCTTCAGCATACTTGGTACACATTTATACCTCTATATTCTCTATAGACGTTGCGATTGGGGACGTGAGAGCCAGGACGGATTTCAGGGATTACTTATATTAGTGTTGTGCTGAAGGAACTGAGTTTGAGTTTCGAGTGCCAACTGTGATGTTCTCGTCTCCCTTAAACCGTCCTGCTGTAACTATATACACATACAGATACTATATACACCGACTACTCCACAAAAGTTTCCGTTTAGGCCAGTAAATTTGTGGCACTTTTGCGGCCAAACAATTAAGTGGTCTTAAGTAAGAGCCACCCTTGTCTTTCTGCTCCTCTGCCGGGTCTTATTTAATTCCCGCCTCTCTTTTCGGCCGGGTACACTTTTTCCGGCCTAAACTTCCAAATTAACAGCCATTAATAATCTAATTAATTTCCCCAATTTATTTAATAACTTTTTTTCTTTACTATAAATTTTTTTTAACATCGAGAGAATTTTCTCTTCTCTTTCCACCCACTATTCTTCTCTGTTCAGATATTTCAGCCAATAAATCTATGATTGTTCGGATTTCCAAACGTCGAGCTCGTAAAATTAGCGGCAGACTTCCAGGTATATTTATAATTCTGTATGAATGTATGAAACGGAATAACGGCGTGATGGAAAGAGTGTGAGCGATTTACTGCGATTTTATTCACGCGGTTTCAAACACTCAAAACTCCCTTGCACAAGGTTACGATCGATCCATCATTTTAGTTTTGACGGGTTCGTTTGGTAAGTTGATCTCTCCACGCATATTTTTTTTGTCCAACGGGTTGTTTAGTTTTCGTGGATTTTAGTTTAGAGTTACATTGTTTTTATTGTTTTTTATCGGACAATGTCACTATTCATCTTTTTTTATTGCTAAACATCACTTTTTTTTTTTTATTTTTTTATATTAAAAGTCATCACTTTACAATTTGGCAATATGAATTTTCATAGAAAAAATTATTTTTGTTAGGACAACATAAGACAAGTTGTGGTAAAAATTATCATGTCAGCATAGGAATAACAAATCTTATAATATGATAACAAAATATAGATTTTAATAAATAATTTTTTATTGTAGCAGAATCCTTTAGTTGGTTTAACAAAAAATACTTTGTTGCAGTAACATAACCTAGTTAATTTGTGTAACTAATTTTATTGTTCAAGTATACAGTAAAAAATTTTTCGTCATTGCGTGAAAAAATTTTTAGTTAAATATTTAACACTTTTCTTTGTAAATTAAACACTTTTTATGTTAATTTTTTTAATTAAACCCAAAAAAAGTGTTAAATACTTAACACAAATGTTATTATTCAAGCAACTAAATCATTTTGGTCAAATAACTAATTGAGGAGCTGATTTTCAAAAGTGTATCTTTTCATATTTTAAAAAAGCAGTTTTTTGAACTTTTAAATATTAATTACTTCAAGAATTATAAAGATTCCTTAATGAAAATCGAATTGTAGCTTATAGCTAAATTAAAAAAATTCAATAAAAATATTTATAATCGAAGATAACCAGTTTTTTATCTCGATTAATCAAAAATGAAAAGATACCCTTTTGAAACTCAACTCCTCAATTATAATGACCAGAAATTAATTTTGTTATTACAATAAATTGATTTTGTTCGAGCAAAAATAAATTTTTTAATACAACAAAATTAGCTAAGTAATGCTAATGAAATAATTTTATTGTAACAATAAACAAATTGATTTAGCGCGATATCAAAAACTGATTTGTTATTGCAACTTAGCTCATTTTTTTAAAAGAACTTATTAATTTATTCTTATAAATAAATTCATTTTTTACTACAACATATTTTTCTGTAATCCCGTATTTTGTTATTTTAACAAAATTATTTTTACAAGTGAGTTAAAAATCCGAAAACTATGTTTTGACAATGTCCTGAATTCAAAACAACTATTATAATCATGTTTACAGCATTGACTTCCGACGGGGTGCATAAAATCAGGCTACAAAAATTTTTTTTCAGGTAAATAATAATTAACTTCTAAATTTAGAGTTTTTTTTTTATTATAAATATCTTATAATTAAACTGAAAAGAGAGAAATCCTGATTTAAAAAAAAAAAAACACTTTTTTTTTAACATATGCCCCGCTCATCAATTATTCTAAAATTTTCTATGTAAGCAAAAAAATTACTCGGTTCAACAAAAATAATTTCAACACTATTGTTACACAAGAGAAATTTTTTGTTGAATTATTTTATAAAATTCTAATCAAAATAGCTGATAAAAAGGTTAATGAGCAAAAAGTGGTTAAAATTTATCTGAGCTAGGTAAAGTCATCGGCTAATAACACCGCCTTAAAAGGTAGAAAGCTTAGAATAAAAAAAGTCTAATAAAAATTAGTAATTTCTAATCGGTATAAATTTCCGGTATTTTTATAAGTAAGAAAACATTGACCGGTAGGATAATGCGATTTTTTGTAAATGGATATTATTATTCTATAAGTTTATAAGGATGTTTTGTGTTTTTGCTGTTGCCGCGGCTCGAAAAATAGCAAAGAGCTTTGTAGTCTTTGTGAATGTATATATTCATGGCTGGTGTTGGTGTTGGTGTGGAGGAAAGAAGGAATAAGTGTGAGCGAATATAAAGAATAAAGAAAAGAATATAATCTGTATAGAAAATACTTGTGTAGCTCTAAAGTGCAGTTGGGAACACGCCACGGCACGGTATCCCCCGGGATAAATATGATGTAAATAAATGATGAGGTGCCCTTAAGGGAGTAGATATTAGGTAGGGGTAAGAAGTGTTATGAAACATAATTAGCGGCCGCCGCCACTGACTCCCAATGATTACAGGGCGGTGAGCTAAAGTCACGGCGAAAAGACCCAACGAAAGACGTCCATAAGAGAAAGAGATGATCAAATGCTACAAAACAAAATATTAAGAATATATATATATATAATAATAATAATAATAATAATAATAATAATGATAATAAAACAAAATAAAATGAACAGTAGAAGATATAGATTTCCTGAGCCACTAAATATCTTTTTGCTGGTATGGGCTTCAACTTCTTCATCACTTATTTTTCCCCTTTTGCGCTCCTCCTTCTCATCTTGCGCTATCCACTACTGATGATCATCGTCCTCTCTTGTATATGGATATTCTTCATATATATGACTTAATATTTCCTTAAAGTGTTCATTGAACTATAATTATTTTTTTTTGCTCTTAAAATCTTCAAAAATTTTACTTTCTTTTAGCTTCTAATTTTTTCAGTCTAACTCGGTATTAAATTTTTGATTAATGTCATCTTGAATGTATGATTTATTTGGACGTTTATAGGGAACATTTTTGATTTAAAAAAAAATATTCCAAGGTGATATTTAAAATATATAACACTTTTGATTTTTAGTGGAGAATTATTGAATTAAAATTTTTGTCAAACAAATATCAAAAAATTAATATCATTGAAAAATTTTTAACCAAGATCATTTTTAATTAGGATAACAAAATTTTTCAACCAAGAAATTGTTCTTGATTTAAGTAAATTTTACTTCGTTAAAAATTTTTTTTCTTTGACAACAGAAAAATTCTTCAAATTAATTTTTTTTCATCAATTTTTATGCAAAAATATTTCTGATAAAATTTGAAAATATTTAAGGAAAAAGTTTATTTTTATTAGTAAATTTTGTCAAAATTACATTAACGTTTTTGTAAAAATATTTAAAAGTTTTTATAAAAATTTTAAAGTATTTATGAGTGATAAATTTATCCACAATTGTGCCCAGAAAAAAAATGTACTTGAATCAAGTAAATAATTTTGAAGAAATTTTTGATTTGAGTAGAAAAATTCTTAAACTAAGAAATTTTTAATTGATTTAAGTAAATTTTATTTGATTCAAAAATTCAAGACAATTACCCTCTTCAAAATTAATTTCTTGGTTCAAGAATTTTCCTCTTAGCTCAAATTAATTTTTTTTCTATGTAGATATTTCAAATCACGATTAAAAAATATAAAAATCCAAAATTTTTCCAAATCTATTATTAGTACAAACTCAAAAATTATTTCAACTATTAAAACAATGTTGTCAAATGAAAAATATTCCCTAAAATATATTTATACATTTATATATCATAAATAAGG